GCTCGGCGGATTCCTGTCGTCGCCGTTTCATATCAGCACTCTCATCGACGCCATTTTCCTCGCCCTCTTCGCTCCGACTGCAAGTCCCGCACACGTACGTTGTTGACTATCATCCCCGTCTTCTTGTCCCACAGCATCGGCACCGTGAATCGCCCCTTGTACTCCGGATCCGCCTTGAAGTACACCTCGTGTAGGTACTTGCTGCCAAACAGCTTGTCGACCGTCGCGCCGGGGTACTCGTCGTCGCTGGCGGGGAACCGCCAGCCGGGCCACCCCTTGGAGTCGCCTTTAGGGTACGGCGCCACGATTGACATGTCGATGAATTGGTCCAGGTGCTTGTGCAGCCGGACCAGGTTGGCTCGGTGCGCGAAGGGGCAGAAGAGGCCTGCGGTTGTTAGGTAAGGTTCTGGTGAGGAAGACGTGGATCGTGGATGGACGCGCCGATGTACAGGTGGTAGCGGTCGGCTTCGGGAGGGAATTGGCTGCCCGGTGCTATCATCGCGTGCCAGCCGTCGTCAGTGCCTGGCTTGTGGATGTCTGGGTTGGTGGTGGTCATGGTGCTGCAGTCGCTGTCAAACAGATGATGCTGATTTGCACGCGAGGTTGATGATGTATGGCTGGTCGAGTTTGCGCTCGGCGTGAAAGCAAAGACTGAAAGAGAGGAGTTCAGAAAGCGTGAGTTGTCGCAATGGCGGCCGGATGTGTGTGGAAGAGCCGTTGTCTCGAGTAGTCGCGTCATCGAGCTTGAGTGGGGAGCTCCAGCGGAAGCGTTCCGCGGTTCGCGGCACGTCATGCAAGCTACTCCATACAACGTATACAATTCAGGCATCGCTCTACTATTACATTTGTTGACTACTCATCCTCCATCTACAGCCGCCTTTTCAGCACCATTCACAACCTTCTCTTGTCGTACCCAACGCCTTTATTCACCGGACAATTGTCGATATTCGCCTTCCACTCGAGCTCCGCGAATTTGGGAATGACCTGATTGCTCTTGAACGAATCTGGGAGATACGCCTTTGCGTCTTTCGCGGTATACTTTGCTCCGACTCTATTCAGCGCACCAACAACATACTTTTCGATAAAATTGAGGTAGATGACGTCCACCTTGTCAGGCAGCGTCCCATCAGTCGGAAAAGACGCGTTCGCCTGCACATCGTTGGGCAGCGGGTACGCGGTAATATTGACGTGCGGCGTGTCGTCGCCGTCTTCTCCAAAGTCGTCCTTGGTCACGTATCCCGGCGTAGGGTCGTAATCTGAGCGGCGCGTGAGGCGGTTAGGCTCGCCACGCTTCACGAGACCCTCGTGAACGACGGGCGGGTCGACACATTCCTCTTGGTCGACGAGAGACATTGCGTTGAAGCCAAAGTCGCGTGGCGTAAGATCCAGCGAGCGCTTCTGGTATGGTCCGGCGTTCATGGTGTCGAGGACTGTCTTGGCCTGGTCCCACGGTACGTCGGGAATGTATTTGAATGTGTTTTCGAACGGGCTGACAATGAAGGAGTCGTCGTACGTGAATGGACCCTGGACCAGGTCGAACCGGATACTTCCGGTGTTGACGAAGATGATGCGAGGTGTGTCTTTTCGCTCCTCGTTGACGACGATCTTGCTCAGTGCCTCCTCGAGCAGCTTGTAGATGCTGCCGTCGGTGCCAAATGGCTTGCAAAAGATGCAATACGTTCTGGGAGCGCAACCAATCACCCTCGTCAAGTTTAGCTGGCTGCGGACTCCAGTGATTGTGGCTGTCACGGCTCTGCCCTGCTGCGTGTCGAAATCCGTGTCCTGGCTGCGGTCCGCGTGGTAGGCAAAAGTCAACCGGTTCCAATCTAGATACCTCCGCGAGTAGAGCTGTGAAGAGGGAGTCTTGGATTGTGGGAGGGACTTGTCTCGTTCTGCGTCTTCGACTGGTTCTGCTGGACGCGAAGGGCCAGGAATTCCCGGTGGCTGCTGCGCCTTTGACGCCTCTAGGCCCGCAATGGAGATCCACCCCAGCGTCTCGCAATACCGTCCGGACTCTATGGCGGTAGCCTTGTTGTCGTACACGACGAAATCCCGCTTGTGCGTGTGTCCACCGAAGATTTGGATGGGCGTGTCTGGAAACTTGTCGCGAATGGCGCCGTAGTACTTTCCCATGGTGCTGGTTTTGTCCGTGGTGCGCGCCGCATTGTGCCCAATTACGACAAACATGTCGATTGGCTGGTCGAAGTTCAGGGCATCCTGGAACCACTGCTCCTTGAGCACTTCGTCGGCCTTGATGACCTTGGAAACGTTGGAATTCTTGTCAAAGTCGAAGATGAATCCAAAGGCCATGATGCGGAGCCCGTGCTCCGTGGTAAAGTAGCGATACTGCTTGCCAATGTATTCGAATTGGCCATTTGCTGGGTTCAGTATCTTGACATTGGACGTCAAGTATCGATCTCCGTAAACCTTGGCAAATTGGTTGAAATGCTCGTACGCAATCTCGGTCACGTACAGCTCGTGATTTCCAATCGTGAGCAAGTCGTAGTCAATGTTTTGAAAAATGGGATTCGAAAGTTGGCCATTTGGGGCGGTCGCGTCTGAAAGGCCGGCACCATCATGCAAATCCTGTCAAGTCTTAGAGAGAATTCGTCATCAGGGGGCTGCCTCTTACACCAGTGTCAATGAGGAGCAAGTCAACACCGTATTCTTGCGCTTGACATTTCATGGCTGCAACAAACGACACAAAATCACCCCAGTCAGCGCCATAATTTTCCTCTTTGATGTGCCCTTCGAGCCAGCCATGCGTGTCGGTCGTGTGCAAGAAATTGATTTGACCCCATTCCAGTGGTCCCTTGGGCGGATGCGGTGCCTCTTTGGCGTCTGGCTGCATCCGCTTGACCTTGCGGGTCATGACCGCGTCGTTTTGCGGTCCATAGCAGTCTTCGCAGGCGAGCGCGGGCACTCCAACACCAACAACATACAACAAGTTGGAAAAACGCATGCTCGACCGAAATGTTGGAAATGGAAAACCCAGGCTAGCTTGACTTGAGCCGCGAATGAGAAGTGAGAGCGGCAACAGCACTTATCAACTATTCGGCCAATAATTTGCTTGGCTGCCTTGCGTGGGGTAGACAACCAATCATCGCGTGCGAATGCTTAGCGTGGGCAAGCCGTGTAAGAGTGATGACACCCATACCGTCGTCCTCCGTTTGTCCGCTATACCAAATGTTCAGCCACTGCCGCCGTTGAGGAAAGCACAAAATCTGTTCTTTATCCGTTAATGTTTCGGGAACTTGTTCCACACGCCCGACTCCGACCGCTCCAACCTGGAAGCTCGCTACGTTTAACCTGGACATTAGTGAGCATGTCAGCGGACCCCTGTTTCGATAATGATTCTTCCCCGCCTTGCGTCTTGGCTGCATTATCTCCAAAGATCAACTGCCGTCACCTGCCGTTTCTGCTTCCATGTGTCGATCAAGGCACTTTTTAAACCTGCTGTGTAATTCTGAGGGCTGTAGTTGAATCAGTTACCATGGCAATGCCGACGTGTGACAAACCATCAACAACCCGCCATGCGCAGACGTCTATCTGTAAGTCTACCACGCTCTAACCTTTTCCACAAAATCCATCTCTTCGGCGTCAAGCTTCAGTTGCAAAGCCTCTGCGGTCCGTGACACAAGCTTCGTAGCAGCGCAAATTTCGACGCCCGAATTCCCCATGTTGCGCGCACCGTACACATGGCTGCCCATCGTCAATACCAAGAAAACGCCAACGGATTTTCATAGCCAGACGGCGTGGAGCGGAAGACCTTACCCTTTGGCTTGCGGCGCTGCCGAGACGGCATAGCAGCAGACAAACTCCATCAGCGCGCTCTCTTTGGCATTCAAAACCCGCTCGTCTGCCATCAAATCCCCGTATACGCACGCAACCGCAACATCTCCAAGCACCCCGCCGGACGAAATATTGAGGTTGTGTAGCACTCGCTCCGTATGCTGCGCATATAGCCGACGAAAGAACTCTTTGCCGCGCTTCTGGCGCTTGATTGCCGGAACATGCTCTCGCGCGTCTTGGTCCTGTTCGATTTCTGCCGCGATGCGCGGAGAGGTGCTCTGAACGGCGGTCCGGAGGATGGCGAGGCCGTTGATGCCCTGTCACTGTAAGAGTTCTGGCCGGCCGCATCCATTACGAGGACAATCTTACTCGAGGGAAGCCAACCAGTGGAGTCGCTTTCAGCAGAGCTTCTCGAACGCGCCGTGCCGCCGTTGCTTGCGCCGCTGGATTCCCCGCATGCGCGGCTGCTATTTGGTGCCAGAGGTCGGCAATGCGCTTCTCGGCTGTAAATGCAAGCAGTGCCGCTGCTGCGTACACGTATGCGATGCTGTATTCCAGTCCTCGTGGGTCGTGGGGGAAGAGCTCGGTCAGCGAGTGGATATCCAGTACCGGGGCAGTCATTTTGACTTGCGGCTGCGACAGTGAAGACGATAGCAGCACGCAGAGCCCACGCAGCTTGGGAAACACGTTCTTTTGCTTGGTCACGCTTTGAGGAAAGACGTCGCAGGCAGTTTGGCAATGACGCAGTCATCCTTCGGCGCCAGAACTAGCTCCGCGGGCGAGGTCACAGCTCCCGCGGACGCACAACGCCAACATGTGAGTTTACCATTTCAATTCCCCAGACGTGTTTGGTCTTGATCAGGACCCGCTTGCAGAAAATTGGAAAAATTTGGATCGGTCCAAATTCGCTTCGTTGCCCTCACACAAACCCGTCGTTCATTTGTGTCGCTTATTTTTAACATTTTTTGTTACGAGCACAATGTCAAGCATTCGCCGCGACTTTCAGCGGCCTTTTCTCTTGGTTTAACCGAGGTTTCCCCTTCTAAGCTCGTTCTGTCTGCCTGCAAGTATCTCCGACAACTTGACACTGAGCAATCACCTAGGCAGATATTGGTATTTCCCTTGCCAAATGCTCCACGCTGGTGTGTTTTTCGCCGGCTAGTTTTGATTATATATAATGTAAACTTTTGATTTCCTTATCATCAAATGCGTTGGTGGTTTAGTGGTAAAATTGATCGTTGCCATTCTCGAACATTTCACACGGTTCGAACATTATCTCGATCAGCCCCGGGTTCGATTCCCGGCCGACGCAGTTTGTTTTGCTATTTATGATTGTCTCAAAGCGTTGTGGTGGTGTTTTGGGGGGTGTCGTTTTGATCAGGGGGTGATCCGGGTCATTTTGGTGTCGGGGGAGTGAAAAACTCGACTCCAGCGCACGGACGCGTTTGATTCTCTTTCTGCGCGGGTACACAGTGATGGGAAGCTGCCATTGGCCAGCTTACTACTACTGCAGAGTCGTCCTCGCCCGATTGGGGGGCTTTGTGTGTCTCACTCAGCAGGTTGGGGCGTTTGCTGCGACCACATGTCTTTCCAGGCAATCTCTAGAGAGGCTACGACGATATCTGCGACTCAACACTGCGGGAACACGCAGCGGAGACGGAAATCCGAGCGGTGGTTGAGCCGATTGGATCGTTTCGCCCTTGGTTCGCCGCCCGCACCACTTTTGCCAAACGGGCACTGGACCACTGGAACAACCACTTCAACCAAAGTCTCTTTTTCCGTCCAGCAGTACAACGTCATCAAACGCAAGCCTACGACACGCAGCTCTCGCAAGTGCGATTCTTTGTCCCATCGAAACATTGCGAAATGCACAGTCGAGAGTGTGCAGAGCTGCGCAAAGCATCGTGGCTCAGACTGGTCCTTGACTCGGATCACAAGCCAAGAAAATTGATCCGCTGCCCAATTTGAACGAAGAGATTGTGGGTGTGGTTTGCGAATCATCACCCCAGCATTCAACAAGGCGCGCTTGACCGGAACGCTTGGGCAGTCGTTCAGCTCGCCTAAGCGCAGCATCAGAGTGCGGTTGAGCTCTATTCGAGATATGCTCGACGAGCATAGTCGTTGTGGTTTCATTGGGATAGCGACGCACCTCGTCAGCTTTGGATCTACCCGATGGTAGCAATTGATGTTGGTCGAGCAAACATTCAGTCTCAAACGGCGGCCGGAGCGTTCTCCATTCGGATAGATCCGGCCAACATGCTAACCGTAAATGGCAAGTTTGACAACCGCCGGACTCCTTGCTGTGATCATCAAGTGGTGCTCAGTCATCGGTTCTTTAATGGTCGAAGAGTATTTCTACACCACTCTGACCGCATATAGAATGCTTCATGCTAACAGATCTGGGGCATCTCCAATGGTACCTGGACAAGCCCTCTCGTATCTGGAATATTGATATCTTAGACTGTTCTGACTCGAAGGTCGTCTGACTTAAGTAAAGACAATATTCGATGATCAAATTGGGGCCTCTAAGAACTGCAACTGTCATTTGCCAAGCGGACTTATTCTGGAGTAGCTAGGCCACGCGCATGCATCGGCATCACGGCTAGCGCCCCGAACTGAATCAAGTCCACAAAGTATTGCGATAGTCAAGAGACACGTCGCAAACGCTGGCTCTCAGAAAATCAAAAATGGGATAAGATGGTGATATTTGCAGGCGACGAAGCGACCAGGTTGAATTGAAACTTCTCTCCAGTCTTCTCGTTTTGTCGAATTTCAACTGTTCTTGCCCCCCCGGCAGACAGGCGAGCTATCATGGCAGTAACACGACCCAAGAACATCATATTCGACATTGGCGATGTCTTTGCAGCTGGAAACCACCGACAACTCCAACCATCTCGCCAAAGCTCCTCAAATAGTTTCTCGATTCACCAACGTGGCACGCGTACGATTGCGGAACATTCGGCCAAGAAGAATGCTACACACGACTGGCCGAGCAGTTTGGCGTCGCCGCAGCCGATATTGGCGACGCGTTCCAGCGCGCTCGTGATTCTTTGGCGCAAGAAAAAGTCCTGGTCGACACCATTCTCGAGCTGAGAAGAGCACATCCGGAACTGAGGGTGTTTGCCATGTCCAACATCTCCGGACCAGATTGGGCGTATTTGAAGAAGGAGTTCAACTGGGAGATTTTCGACCGGGTGTTTACCTCGTGCGAAGCCGGCATGTCGAAACCTGACCTTCGATTCAATCGCCTTGTGCTGGAGCAAGCAAACGCGTCGCCGAGCGAGACTGTATTTGTTGATGAAAAGCTGGAAAACGTCATTGCTGCGCGTTCGCTTGGAGTGACCGGCATTGTTTGCGAAAGCTCCGCAGAAGTCCGTCGAAAGCTCCTCAATCTTCTCAGTGATCCACTTCAAAGGGGGAATAGTGGCTCCAGAGAAACAAAAAGACCCTCTGATCTCAGACTGACAATGGAGTTGTTGTGCGCGATCACTTTGCCCAGCTCCTCGCCTACGAAGTGACCGGAGATTTGTTAGGAATTTCCAGCCATCCTCGGAATTTGTTAGCTAATATCGTATGGCAGAGATCTCTTCGAGCTGAGGTACCACGATCGCACATGGAACTACTTTATTGGTCAGTCTCTGGGTTTCATGGGGGGCTGAACGAAGCGTTGACGATGTTCAGATACTTTGGAAGGATTCCCGAATGACGTCGACACCACTTCATACGCGTACAAATTGTTGCCCGTGGATCCAAATATGGCGCATTCAATCATTGACGAGATGTTGTCTCCAAAAGGACTGACGGGCGATGGAATTTTCAAGGTAAAAGGCTGTCTCTTTCCGCGTAAAAACGTCCGAAACTGACGGTCTTCAAGGTTTACTTTTACCCCGGTCGAGCGCGGACAGACCCCACTGTCTGCATCAATGCACTGCGGCTCTTGTACAAGTACGGTCGCGGAAACGAAGAGCAAGTGAAGCCGACCAAACATTGGATCCACAACGTGCTATTCCATCGTGCGTACTTGCAAGGCACGCGGTACTACCACAGCCCAGACACATTCTTGTACTTTTTCACGCGTCTACTGGCAGGAAATCCGGGGTCAGATATGTATCGCAGCACAGCGGCGCTTTTGCAAGAGCGGCTACGAGAACGGACAAACGTGCAATCGGACGCCTTGGAGCTAGGGATGCGCATTCTGGCATGCCATTTGATGGGGATCCGAGACGACCTGGACCTCTTCCAGCTGTTGGATATGCAAACTGAGGATGGCTCTTTCGAGATGGGCTACCTCTGCATGTACGAAAAGCCGGGGGTGAAGCTCGGCCACCGTGGTCTTACGACAGCGCTTGCAATTCGCGCGGTGGAAGCGTTGGTGCCTTTGAAATCATCGTCGGCCAACCAAGAGATGGGCATGCATCGAGGCAGAGGTAGCCTGAAACGGCTGTAGGAAGTTGAGGTTGACGAATGGAAGAGTCAGCCTGGAGGTAGTGGACTTCAATAAAGTGGGTGAGGATTGATCGGAAGAGTCAATACAGACGTCCATGTGACAGCGTTTCCACATACCCCTGAAGGTGCAGATTCCGGAGTCTTTGGCTTCATTTTTTCTGGTCACTCACCAAGATCGCGGTCCGAGCCATGCTTGGGTTGACGTTACAAGGTGCGATTCGATCACGACTTGAAGTGATCTTTTCGGTGGCGAGTGTCGCGTTCCCAGCGTTGTTGGATGAACGGAGTCGCGATCCATGGTAAAAAGCAAACACTTTCGCTTAGCGGTCCAATTTCGGCCGGCGTCGCATACAGTCAGTCGTCGTGCCGCCTCAATCCTCATCACACCTCATCTCGAACTCACTAGGCCGCAGACATTCTTCATCACCGCCTTTGTTTGTGGCTTTTTTGCGATTCATTCGTCTCGAAACCCTAGACTCTGAAGCTCTTCAACGTCATCTTTATACTAATCCACTGGCGCAAACCTGATGATGGGGCAAGAGGAAGCCCGTGGGAACCGAATTCCCAATTCTCAGAGCGTCGATCCAGTTCCATGGTTCACAAGGACAACACCCAATCGCTCATATCCCACATACCGGAAAAGAATCGCGACGGTTTTGCCATCTGACGAGGTCTTTGCGAGTGGTTGGTGAAGAATGTACGCTGATCTTGAGCGACTCGGTCCGTTTGTCGGCGGAGTGATGAGGACTGCTCGATTCTCAGAGGGCAAAAGGAATAACGGTCTCTATTCAAGTATATGCTCACTATCCCACCAATTTCCGGGCAAAACCGACATTTTCAAGATGAGACGTAGGAAAGTGGTCAAGGAAGAACAGTCCTGACCAAGATGTGCGCAACTGTTTGAAAGAAAGAGAATGCTTAGCAGCGATCAGCCATATCCGAAACTTTGCGGGGAGTGAAAAGAGGCGGCCCGTAGGTCGCTTGTAAATCACCGCTATTGGACGGCTGCTCGAATCTGACGATACGGCTGCTGCAAGTTTCGGGGAATACATTTTCGTGGACCAGTTTGGCCCAAGAGCCATCGAGCGCGCAACGTACCAAACAATACTTCCGGCTACCTCACGTTATTCCTGCCACGTACAACTCCCGACCTAATCTTTGCAACTCTCAGAAACCTGGTTCAAGTCCCAACAACCTTCAAGCCCTGTTCTTGGTCGGCGCTAGTGCCGTTGGTTTCCAAAGATGCCTTCGCCCACACATTGTGATGAGGACTTGAAAGACAGTCCAAAGTCGAATTGTAGCCTCATGCTTTGGTTGTCTCTCAGTCAGTCCCGAAATCGTTCGAAAGCTCGAGACTTTAAGATGCTCTGGAATCCCCCGGCCAGGTCGCAGAAACGATCTCCAATAGTGACCTCTTTCAATCGAAGACTCGATCTTCGGAACGCACGAAAAGCCCCCTTCTCACGCCTCTGCAACCGTCAGCTCGAGTCCCTGAAGACCCATAGCTGCCAAAGACTCAACCTGACATCATCTCAACACGTAAAAACGCCCAACGAAGCAATGGGCACCTACGGATTCAAGCAGCAGCAGGGCGAGCCCAACAACAGCGCCAACGTAAGTGCAAACACAAGCCCTACTCTTTCATACAATATGCTGACTTTGTCAGTCTTTTGGCCCCTTTTATGGCCACGGGAATGATATTTCCAAGTTCACCTTGGGACATCCCAATGGATCCGGTAATCTCCATGCACAGGGATATGTCCAGGGATCCGCCCGAATGCGAGAATACCATCAGGGTCCTCCTGAAGTCTCGCAGCATCCCCAGCAACACGTCTTGCACCAGGGCGTACTTTACGCCCCAGACCC